TTTAAATAATAATAAATAAGGTCTTTATCATCGAGCTATATCAATAGCTATTTACAGACTGAGTGGGCTAAAATGCACAAGAAGCATTATTCATATTCTCCTTTAATTCTTTAATAATTCACTGCGTGTTTACAGACCCTTAGGCAAACTAGTTAAAACACGTAATATTTAAGATTAGTATAAACGATGGAACAGTGGCAAGGAGGCAACCAAATTTCGGCTTTCACAGCAGAACATTTTCATCGGGGGAGCATGCCCCCCTTAAATAAGTAACGAGATAAATAGGTAAGGTTGGTCTAGCAGGTAACTGAACTCCAGCTGCATCCTGTGTGTGAGCACCGCTCACATTAAAACAATGCAGAAAGAGAAAAAACAAATTCTGTAGTTAAGTTGTAGTGTTCCTTAAATTGCTTAACTGCTTAGCTTGTTTTAGGACTTCTTACGAGAATACTGTTGTCATATTTTCATTGTGCTTATTGCTCTTTCACCCTCGGTAAACGCACTATGCCATTTGGAATCTCCATCATAAATATCCCAAATGATGGTGGCTGGGTGTGTGCAACAATATAAGGAGACGCAAGATTACCGTTCTGACATTCACTGCTTGGTAATCTCCTTTTGGAACAGTTATGAGATTTCCTCTGATGGGTTCGAGGAGAAAGTTAATATGATGTGGCGTAAATGCTAGCATCAACATAATCTGAATAAAAATAGATGACCTTGCCACCACACTGATGTGTGATGGCCATTTTAAATCAGTTTCACAGGAGGAATATCTGTATCTGGTCTTCAGCTGCTCGATCGACTTGATGGCACTGATTACCAAAGTTTTTGCATCCCAAATGTCCTAATAATCTTTTATTAAGATTCATAAAAAAGTTTGAAATGCCTCAGAAGAGTATAGCAATATTACAAGTCTAATAAGATGAAAAGTTAAGGGTCACCAAATTCATTACAAATCCTCCTGATGGCATGTCTGTATCCATCCAGGTGTTCAAACACTTCAAGACCACAAAAGTCAACCTGCCTACCACGATCTACAGTACTGTACAGAACAAATGTCCTGCATTTTAACATTGATTTTGATAAGAAGATCCAGACTGATCCATCCATCCATTCTCTAAATCACATGTCATGTCCAGGGTCAAGGGGGGCTGGAGTCCGGTCCCAGCTTGAACTGGGCAGGGTCCAGCTTGGACAGGTTGTCAGTATATCACAGGACTAACACAGAAAGTGACAACTCAAACATTCAGAGCGTCCATTTCACCTGACACACATCTTTAGACTTGGTTTCATATGGAACATGCAGAGCCATGATGTCACCCTCCTTAAAATCACTGCTCAAAATAGATTCCCAACCCGAGCAACCCGTTTACCTCATGTGCCGTAAATCCAATAACAAATGCTCTATACATCAATTTCAGCACGAAGAAATAGATCCATATCTCGGCTTTCCCGGTCAGACGACCTGTTTGTTTGTGCTTAAATCAAAGACTGGACGTTTAAAACCCGATCTTGAACAGAGATCCATATTCTCTCGCACAGAGATGCTTATCATAGCGCCATACATCACGGGCAACATGCTAGCCAGCGATAGCCCGGCCCGAGCTCGGAGCCGGGCCGCTGGCTTGACAAATGAGCGAGTAAGGAGTTTGAATGTGCAGATGAACGATCCTGATGATTGCCCAGGACTGTAGTAAAACACGATGCCAACTCTAATGCTGTTACTATTTCCTCGGTCTGCCAAGTGGAATGCTCCTTGGCTTGTCTGAGTGCTCGCCTTCCGTTTCTAAAGGAACAGCTGGACGCTGGTTTAATTTGTTCGAGTCAACAAAAAGTTCTGTGTGTGAGCGGAGACGCCATGCAGGAGGTTTTAACAAAATTCTTGCCCTAATACAGGTTAAAATACTGTTTCCATGGAAACAACACTTAACCATTCAAAAAAATATACTGGAGGCCTGAATTGTAAGGCACAGGGTGTATCTGTAAGCATTTGTGTTTTTATGCATAAATATAGAGCTGGAGTGCTGAATTGCAGGCGGGGTAGACAGACACTTTGCTTATATTTCCTATCCTGAGGCCTCACTTAAACTCGAATATTTGAATTCTATTTAACTTGTAATATTTTTTTACAGGTACAAACAAAGCACCTGTAATATCTGTGTGCATTGGTGTGCTTGTGTGTGCTGTAGTTTGTTTCGTAGTCGTACATTTAAACGCTGCCATCCATCAGGATCACATTTGAAAACAGTTTCCAGGCTGATTCAAATTGTCCTATGATTTATATTAAAGTGACAAACCAAAGCGGACAGGGAGCACAGCAATACAAGAGATTCATATATAATTCCCGAATTGCCCCCATGTTATTTGCTGTGTGGCATTGCTCTGGCATGTGTCGATGCTGAAATCCCACACAGCACATGCTGCGATGCCCAATGCCACACAGAGATCTGTTCACTTCTGTCAGCCTTTGATTCCAGGCAATATGGCTTTTTCAGCCTCCCGTGAGGTTTCAGTCGACTCCAAATATCGGTTGTTAAAGGCATTGATGAAACTCACTTTTTGTTCATTTAAATCCGACTCCTTTTCTGCACTTAATCCCAAGTGTGCATGTGGTTCTAGCCTTGCATGTAGATTTTAAAGATGAGCAGCTGAAAAAGAAGGTCTTTATGCAGGCAGCCTATGGTGGGAAGCCAGCTCGGCTGCCATTCGTAGAAAGCTTTTGAAGCCAAAAAAGAGCGGCTCCCTTGAAACAGTCGGGGTTGATGGTGGAGGCCGGTGCCCGAGGCCCTTCCTCTGAACGGCTCTCATGTCTGGCTTCCAGAGGAGAGGAGGGCTGGTGCAAAGCTTCCAGGTGACAGCTACCACCAGACGTCCCATTTCTATTTATTTGTTTTCTCCATCCTGTGGAAGTGGCTGACTTTTTCATTCAGCATGGGAAATATTGCTGCACTATATTCATAAATATTATGAACAGAAAGGTGTCTTGAAGCAGAATTAGGACAGTAGCACCAGCCACTGTGGCAAGTGGACAAAAAAAGTTAAACTTCAAACTTGAATATATTAGTACATTCATTATTAGATTGAACACATGTTGGTGTTACTATAACTCCGTTATGCTAGTGAGAGACTCCATGCTGTCTCTGAGCAGCATGCATGGGAATGAATTACAACACAGTAAGTGTCTGATTTAGTCAATTCTTCCAAATGTTGTTCAGGTTGTTCCTCCATGGCTCATTTTGGACGGGCAGTTGTGACAAACTGTGAACTTGATGTCTTCTTTACTCCCGCCGACGCCTGTGTGTGTGTGTGTGTGTGTGTGTGTGTGTGTGTGTGATGCTAATGACCGTGTCGCTGCGTGTGCTGACGTAAAAATATAACATGGTGGCGGCACATGTGACTTAATGCGACCAGCAGAAAAGGGCATTCATCACAGTACTGAGGATTTTATATACATACTGTAACTCCTGTAAGGAGTCGGTTTATCACCAGTAACACTGTGTGTAGGACCTTTGAATGTGATGGAGCACTAAGTTAGTGCTAGATAAGACTAAGATATCTTCTGGCTCAGTTTAATTACGCCATCACCCCAAACAGGTGGATTACAATCCCTGTATTTCTTTTAATCAAGCATCCTTGACTAAAATGTCCTTCTTCATGTCTTTTTATGCTCTGCAGGACAGATGCAGGGATGAGAAAAGATTGGAGGGTTTGCAACACGGATGAAGATGTTTTTAAAGGATGGTCTGACAACAACAGGTGCAGATGCCAGAAGCCAATAAAGTCAAAGCTGTGAGACTGCCACATGCAGCTCCAGATATGTTCACTCTCCCCAACACAAGACAGCAGGTCTTGCTTGCTTCCCCACCATTGCAACATCCCGGATCACACCACAACCACAAGCACATGCTGCATGCACAGTATGAGTACAATTGTCCGTTATCCCCGTAGTCTGACAGCTAGGACTCAGTCTGACCTATTTCTTGAAGGCTTAGGCAGACCTTATTTTTTCATTTAGCAGTTTCACACTTCCATGTTTCAGGTGTCTGCTCCCTATTCTTATCACCACTTCCCCTGTTTTCATGTGATTTTTTTTAGCAAGAATCTAAATAGATTCAAATCTTTTTTTAGAAGAGTGTGTCTATGTCAACCAAAAGAAATCCCACAAACACAAGCAAAAGTAGCTTTGTGAGATGTCCAGAGTGAAACTGCTCATTGAGAACACACGTTTGCATCAAGGCAGTCATCATGGAAGAGTACACTTTTTAAATCTGAACTGGCTTTTCAATCCTACCCATCTTTTCCACCGCCAAAAAGAATAAAAAACGTGCATGTTGCACAAATTGTGCAGCATCAGTGACTGGGCCCCCGTTATGGTGGAGATTCACGTTGGTGAGGAGGAAGCTCCTTCTCCCCCTTATGCCTAAGAATAATATTCACTTCAGAATGTAGACATCGTTCCTTTAAAAGTTGAGACAGCATTACATCATGTGCAGAGGTGACACAGGAGCGTTGCAGTGCCGTGATGCTCCTCTCTATGGCCGTGTATAGGTGTATGTTTCTCATTAAGAGAGATTAATCAGAGGAGATGACGCATCCCAAGGTTACCTGCCCTGTCACTGTCAGCAAACCTAACAAGCCATCCTCTTCCAGTAGCCCTTCACTCATGCGTGCATGTGTTTCTGTGAACACTTGTTGTATCAACTATATGGCAGTCACAGCTGCACGCAGCTGTCTCTTGTCTCCTGCTCATTAAACCGCTTCCTTTCGCTTTCGCTAATAAGACGGGACGGATGCTTAAAACTAATCCTACACGTCATTTACATAATGCAAAGGACAGCGTAGGTGGAAGGCAATCTGCTATCTACCTGGCTGTGGAAGAGGCACTGCGGTTTCTTATTGTGCCTGCATCCTCTGGTTGCTACAGTTTTCTCATGTGAACTGGAAGCGAGTTGCTCCAAGGTGTGGATGTGAGTGTGAATGCGAATGTTCGTGTTAGACCCGTGATTAACGGCTGACCTGACTGGGGGTTTGTGTTCCCTTCCTTCCACGCAGTGCACGCTGGGGTAGGCCGACCCTGGAAAGAAGAAGTGGGTGTTAAAAAATGGATGGATGCAGTGAAAATGCAGCGGGGTCGACGAGCATCCGGCCAGACGTCCGTCTGTGCTTGTGTCTGGTTGTCCTGGCATGTCTTTGAGTAAACACAAAGGGCACACAAACTCCACACAGAATGGACAAACCTTGAGTTAACCTTCTGATGTGATGTGTTTGTAGTCTGCAAAAAAAATAATTACACACCTTGTCAAACTGAGGAGCCGCATGAATGCATGGATTGGCTGCTGTTTAGCTTCTACTCATGTATGTATTAACTTTACTTTCCATTCATTATGTAACCTCAGAATCAAGGTTTATTTTCATTGCCTGCAATTGACGGCCTCCAGAATGTGTTGAAGAACTCTATTTTAAATGAATTGAAGGATTTTATTTTAAATATACACTAACCTTTTAATACAAATATTTTTGATGAAAATAATTGATCATATTTAACATCACCTTAATGACGGATGCAAATTTGTTGTAGTGTGTTCTTGGTTATTCTCTGTTGTCAATTCAACCAATAAGAAAAGAACCAACAAGGAGCAAAATGACATAACTATATTAGAATTTGATATAACTTTATTGATTTGTGTGTATAACATGTGCCGCCACACACCGAGCTCCTCCTCTCGATGCTCACAGTGGTACTCTGGCTACACAGTGAATTCTGCTGCTGTCAGTGGCTGTCTATAGGAGCAGATCTTCAGGTTGGGAAGGATCCATAGTTTCCATTAAGAGTAATTTCTTGTCTGATCATTTGCTGAGTAAACATCCGATCCTTCCAAGTAGCCCATTATGAACAAAGACAATGCCAAACTGTGTAAAAATCAATTCATCAAAATAGGTGAATGTAAAGCTCATTTTTTTTTGCTGGCAGCAAAGATGCATAGTATGGCTTTTATTATTAAAATGCTTATTAGCAATATTCCTAGTTATACCATTCCATTTTGTTTTAGTGGACTACTGTCAGACAGATGACAGATGGACATACCAGACTTAAGTACATTCATAGAGTTAGGATCTCAAACTTGCAAAAGATAAAGTGCAGCATTGCGTTATAGTGTTTGAAATACGAGCTTATAAATGAAATGTTATCACCAGCTGCCACTGAATGAACAAACATTATGTATTTAGGAACACCTGGGGGGCTTTCAGCACGTGTTGTTTGGAACTAGGGGAGGCATCCTGCTGGTTGGGCTCTGACTATGCCCCCCCCGATACCCAGTCCAGAGCTAACGGTTCTGCTATCGGTACTGCAGAAGTTACGGAGTGAGATCTCATCTCAAACCTCCTCTCTCTGTCTCTGTGTGTGTCTTTGCACGATGGGTGAATTTAGGCTTTACTCTGACACACAGACCGACATCATGGCAGAGAGAAGAAAAAGATCAAAAGTGTGATTTTACTCCAGTAGATGCTGAGAATTCTCGTTGTATCAAATGCAATAAAACCCTCAAAAGTAAGGGAGGAAACACCAGCAGTGTATCACAACATTTAGCCAACACGCAGAACAGAAATGTGCAGAAATGTTTGTCGAGCAGCCGTCCATCCTCGAGCCGTCCCTGAGTTTGATCATAAGAACAGGCTAATTAATGGAAGCTAATAGCTCAGCTAATTGTTGAGCTGCGCCTGAATTTAATGATTTTGGAACTTCTTGTAGATTGTCGGGCTGAGGCTGCAGCAAAAACCGTTAAGAGTATCGATAAGGAACCGAACCGATAAGCAGTATTGATAATAGCACTACTATCGATACAATCCTAACGATACCATGTCTAGCTCTGACCATACCAGTGGCCGCTGCCAGTATGTCACCATTATCATCGTACCCATGGCTAAAGCTGTGATGTTCAGCTTTCTGAGGCATTGTTTGTCCATACTGAGATAGTACAAACAAGCGCTGCCAAATGTGATCATTTAGCATTTTGTAAAGCTTCTACAACTTCATCGTGGGTAAACGTAGCCCAACCTTGTGTTTACTTTGCTTGGTTCCTTTTTAGTGGTAGTGACAGGGAGGTTCGTTTTTTACTAAATAGAGCATTTTTGATGGACTTCAGAGCAGTTGAAATGATTTTTGGGAAGATGGCAAAAAATAAGAAAAAAAAAAAGTCTGGAGCCTTGTAGACCAGCTGCTATAATCAAACAACAAAGGGATCTGTATCTGCCAATATGGATCATCAATGATCAGTAATTATCGGCAGCAAGAAAGCCGTGATCAGAGATCTCTAAAAGTTCGATTTGCTCCCTTTTTTCTTTTGTGCTGATCTTTCGAAAGTGTAGCTCTATCCAGTCACAAGCTAACCTTACTAAATGCAGGAAACTCTCAACTGCAGTGAGACATACCACTCTGTTTAAAACACTCCCCACTTGTAATAAAGAGTAAAAGATTCAGGGCTTTTTTAAAACATAGTGAGTTTAATTAAGCCCCATAAGACCACCCCTGATAGTATGAGAAAAATATGACAGTATGAGAGAAATAAAGTTTTTTTGTAAACATGTTCTAGTAGAAACCCAAAATACACGTATGAACCTGGAATTAAGCAAATCATGTCTCCTTTAAATAAATAAAAAATCTCCAAATCCCCTGGTGGCAGGTTTGAGTGTGTGATGTTTCAACCATAACAGCAGTATTTCTTGTTTCCTTTGATGTTGTTCTTGCCCTCTCCAGCACCTCTCTGATGGCACACTGTGCACAAACTTTTGATGCGACTTCATTCTCCAGAAAGAAACCATTTGATGTTTTGAGTATGATGGTGGTAAATGGTCTCGGGAGCCGTATTAACAATCCCCTGTAACTGCCGAGTTCTGATTGGTACAGAACTGAGTGGAAAACAAGCGCTGTGTGTCGACCTTCTGCCACATGTACAGTTTACTGGTCTGCTTGCTGGAAAAGGTGTGTCACTGCGTGTGAACCACTGCTCAGAAAACCAATACATGTGTTCATTTTTATTACATTTTTACCGTTTTAGTATTACATCTAGTATTACATTTTACACTGTGGCTCAGAAAGTAGAGCGGGTCGTCCCTCAGTCAGAAGATTGACTACAGATTGATCGTGACTTCCCTCAATCAGAAGATTGGCGGTTCGATCCCCAGCTCCTTTAGTCCATGTACATGCTGTGTCCTTGGTTAAGACACTTAACCCCAAATTGCTCCCAAAGGCTGTGCCATCGGTGTATGAATGGGTGTGAATGGGTGAATGACGTAGTGTAAAAAGCGCTTTGAGTGGTCGGAAGACTAGATAATCGCTATACAAGGTCATCCATTCACCGATCGCACAAGTTCTCCCTTTCCACCTGTTTTTTTAAACATGATCTTAGCATGATAGCATATCAGTTCCTTATCTATGAGGACTATGCAAGCACCAACTTCTACTGTGTTGATAAATCAGTCAATCATTTGAGTAATGATCATAAACAAGTTAGAGTGACTTGCTGAAATGTGTTGAGAAAAACAATTGTTTCTCACATGCTTAATTATACAAAATAAATTGGATGTGCAAACGATATTAAAATTCACCTGCTGAGAATATTGCTTTAAGAAAAAGAAAAAAATCACACAAGATTATTGTCCCAAAAAATGCTCATTGGAGGGATTCACATACAAATATCTATGGACTGGAGACGCATATGTAGCAATACCTAGAAGTGGCCGGCTGCTCTTTGTGGATGCAGTCAGTGGCAATCTTGTGCATTCTGTTGGATTATAATTTTTAAGATCGGAGCAGAGATTTGTGGTGTTTGTATCTTTAATCGCGATTTATTTAATCTCACAGTTTACAATCACTTCTCTAGCTCTTCTTTCTCATTTGGTTTTAAACTAAAGAATCGCCAAATAGGCGTATTTGCGTTCTTTTTGCTGACGAGTTAGAGCTACCTCGGGCTGTGCCAAATAGCTTAAAGCTTCATTCATCGCGTTGGCATTCAGATTACAAACCTACGGAAACATTGCGTGCGATAATAGTTCACCGTCCTCCACCTTCCCTCGTCTCTCTCAAACACACACACAGCTCTGTGTTCTCTTCTCTGTAATTATCTCAGTCCAAAAGTCCAAAAGCCAATACTAAATATTTGTTTTAATCCATATTTGTCGGCATTTAGACTTTCAAAAATCCCGAAATCTAAACACTGATTGTTTTGATGTCAATGCCAAAGGATTCTGCAGTCAATTATTCAGTAGGTGTGTGTGTGTGTGTGTGTGTCATCACAGTTTCATTGAACTCACAACATTAATTGTCACATCCTGACAGCAGTGAGTGAGTTATTTACATTAACATGACATAAGTCAATTTGAGTCTATTTATACACCAAACTGTAGAATTCCTAAAAACAGATTCTCCTTCTTACAACGCAGCCGACTTCTATAAAGCTGTGGTCGGCTCCTACCATTAATGTCACAGCTGATTGGTTGCCAGCTATTTGGCCTAATGGCTGCGTGACATGGTTTATACCCATTAATTACAGTGAGATTATTGCCTGCCTCGGCTGTTCTGTAGAAAGCCAGGGGTGTGGACGAGCGCTGTCAGCTCTTTTTGCCTCGAGTCTCTGAATCGCAGCATCATTGGTTGTTAAGTGTAACATATGGAAGGCCTCTCCCCGTGCATGCACTTCTCCCAGTAGAGCTACTCTCAGAAGCTCAAGACTGCGGCCGCCCGTCATCACGAATTGTGTTCCTTTGTCTGTGATAAACACAGGAAGGGTTTTCCACACACAGCAGCATGGGCTGATGAAAAAACAACACTTTGGTCGGTTAAACGGTCGGTAATAGAGCTCCTTCTTAATTACAAGAAAGTTAGGTTCAGGTACAGATCCTTCTGGTTTCAAGCACTGCACAACATCCGTGGGTATTAGTGAATAAAGTTGTTGTGTGTTTAATCATTCAGAAAGTTCCTGTGTAGACAATAAAAGCTAGATGAATTGGCCTTATTTCCATTTCATAGACATTATATTGCAATTGAACCTTGGCGGAGACAAGGGGGGGAAGCTA